TAAAGACCTCCCTTGCTGATGCTACCTTGCTCACTCATCCTGCTCCAGAAGCCCCATTGTCCCTGATGGTTGATGCTTCAACCGTTGCCGTAGGAGCAGTCCTCCAACAGCATATCAACAACTCGACACGACCGTTGGCATTCTTCTCCAAGAAGCTTTCACCTGCCGAGACGAGATATAGCACGTTTGGCCGTGAACTTCTTGCCATTTACCTAGCCGTAAAACATTTCCGACACTTCCTTGAGGGTCGTGACTTCACCATTTTCACAGACCACAAACCACTTACATTTGCCATCCGATCCCATTCTGACAAATATAGCCCGAGAGAGATTTCTCATTTGGATTACATCTCGCAATTCACCACCGACATCCGCCACATTGATGGCCCGAAGAATGTGGTGGCTGATATGCTGTCCAGACCCTCACTGTCTTCCCTCCAACTCTCACACGGGATCGATCTTTGTGCCATGGCGGCTGAGCAGCAGCGAGTCGGTTGTCCTGGCGACGAGTCTGTTAGTGGTCTTCAACTCAAAGACGTTCCTCTGACCACCGGCTCTGGTACCATACTTTGTGACGTCTCAACTCCCTTTCATCGCCCTTTTGTGCCCGCCTCGATGCGTCGAGCTGTATTTCAAACTCTGCATGGACTCTCCCACCCTGGGATCCGAGCCTCTCAAAAGCTCCTCGCGGAAAGGTTTGTCTGGCCTGGCATGAACAAGGACGTCAAAGCTTGGGCCCGGTCGTGTCTGAGCTGCCAGCGCAACAAGGTGCAGAGTCACAACAAGTCCCCATCAGGCACATTCCCCAGTCCCGACGCACGGTTCAGCCATGTGCATCTGGATGTCGTAGGCCCCTTGCCTCCATCCAATGGTTTCACCTACCTACTTACCTGTGTCGATCGATATACTCGCTGGGCTGAAGCTATTCCTTTGCCGAATGTTCAGGCTGAAACCATCGTGAAGGCCTTCGTCAGTCGTTGGGTCGCCATGTTCGGTGCCCCATCCACGGTTACGACTGATCGTGGTGCCCAGTTTGAGTCAGCACTCTTCCAAACGCTACTCAATTTCCTTGGCTGCACACGCATTCGGACGACAGCCTACCACCCCGCTGCCAACGGTATGGTGGAACGTTTCCACCGCCAGCTAAAGACCGCCCTGCGTGCCGTAGAAGACCCAGGAAACTGGTCGGACAACCTTCCTCTTGCACTCCTCGGCATCCGCGCAGCTCTGAAGTCGGATCTGGGCTGTAGCGCAGCTGAATTGGTTTTCGGCACTACCCTCCGACTGCCAGGCGAGATGATCACCCCAACCTCTCGTGGAGCCGACGAGACTCCTGACAATCTTGTGCACCGTTTGCGGCAATTTATGCGCTCGCTTTCCCCGGTTCCACCTCGAACTCCTATGACTGAGTCTTATGTCGAAAAAGACTTGGACAAGTGTACTCATGTGTTCGTCCGGTGTGACCGTGTGCACCAGCCGCTGGAATCCCCTTACGAAGGACCGTTCCGTGTGCTCGCGCGCAACGCCAAAACCTTCCGGATTCTTCGCAGTGACAAGGAGGACGTGGTCAGTGTCGATCGGGTCAAGGCTGCTGTTGCGGAGGAGCCGCCGGACCTGTCACAAGGACAAACATGTGCTGACCCCCTAACCCCTGTTCCTCCATCTTCCCTATCCCCTACTCGTTCACCCTGCCCACTGCCTTGCCTTTCCCCTCCCTTGCCCTCTACCCCTCCGTCCCGCATACTTCCTCTCCCTACATGTCAACAGCATCCAACTGCAACACCATCGTCCACCGCAGCACGCAGTCAACCCTCTTCGACTGTACCTCCTGCATACATAACTCGCAGTGGCCGTCACGTTCATTTTCCCGATCGTTTAGTTACCCATTTTTTCTAGACTTGTGCATATCCTCCGGCGCCGTATCTCATCGCCCTCCGGTCTAGAAGGGGGGTACTGTGGTGAGGTACCTGACTAATTGACCTTTGACAACTTGGTCCCTTTTTCTTTGACCGCATTGCTTGTTTGAATGTGACGGAAAACGA